ACAGGCAAAGCAATCACACACATAAATAATTTTAAATAAATAAATAAATAAATAATGTGTTTGTCTGGTTTTTTTTTTTAACCAAAAAGCACACAAAATAAAATACTTAGAATTATGTAATGCCAACTTCACAGATCGCTTAAGCGCTATGGATGCTAAGCTCAGGCTCCTGCCACAGGGAGGCCTTAGCTGTCACTCGGGTTGTCTGAAGGTCATTCTGTGGTCCTGTACCATCAGAGCCCTTCCTTTGGACTGTACCATGGCCAGCGGCTAGCTGCCACTAAAAGAGAAGAGGTTCTGGGATCAGCGTCCTCTTAACCCTAGCACTTCAAGGCCACCTCTCCGGCTTCACTGCCTGCTCTTTGCAGCTCAAATCTCAGCAGTGAGATCCCTTCCATCCCCCCAAAAATAGCACCTAGAGCAAATGGGCACAAGCTCTGGCCCCTGCTTCTGAGAGCCCCCAGCTCTACACAGTCTGAAACTCTCCCATCCCTGTCCTCGCTGTGCCCCACTACAGATGACATCTCTGCCCAAGCCTAGTCTCTATCCTCCTGGGTGCAAGGTGCTGGGAGCCCTCAGCCCTTCCTCCAGCAAGACAGAAGCAATGTGAAACTGACCTCAGAGACCCTCAGAATGTCAGTAAGGAAAAGGCACAGGAGCTCAGCAACTCAACGCCCCCAGCTGCAGGTGGAGGAAAGTGAGGCCACAGAGGGAGCAGGCTTGTCCAAGGTCACCTGAAAAGGAGGCAGAGGAGCCGGGGCTTAATCTAGACTCTCCTGGCTCTCTCTGCCCCACTCCCTACAAAGCGAAATGGAAAGTCTGGAGGCTGGTGCCCAACACAGAGATGCAGAAAGGAGCCCTAAGGATCCAGCAACCTCCTTGAAGGTACCTGGGTGGGACCAGCGGACCAGAGCCCAAAGGTTGAAGGGAGAGAGGACAGGCGAAGGAAAAGCCTTGAAAGCTCTCCAGCAGGCTGAGGCTCTGAAAGACCTTACAGGGATGCAGGATCCAGGTGGAAGACACAAAGTGTCCCTTGAGTCAGCGCTGATCTTGGGAGGCTATCTAGAAGAGAAGGTTCCCACCTCCCCACCACCCCAGGAATAACTGGGCATAAAAGCTGCAGGCAATTAAAAGGCACAGTAACCATGCAAAACCTACAGCTGTCGCTCCTACTTGGGGGGACAGTGGTGGTGGCAGGATCCCCAGGGCAGATCTTGCCTTCATTCTCCACGCACAACCCAGGCTTCGGTGTCCAGCAGGGCACCCTGTCCATCTGGCTGCTTGCCATCATCCCCAACCCTGCTAGTTTAGACACCTGCTCCTGGCATCTCAAAACATCCTCTCTCCAGACCGCCAGGCTGCTGGGAATTTTATCTGTCTAGGGTAACAGCCACCCCCGCCCTCTGCACAGGCCCGTCTCCCACCAGGGCCTTCCGTGGAACATGAAAGACAGCGCACATTTGACATGCTCTACATCAGAACGGCCAGAAATGGAGCTTAAATGTTGCTTGCCGAGTTATAATACAAGACTCAGAACCCGCATCTCGACACATCTCCTTTGCAATTCTGTTGCAATTCAAAGCCAGAGAACCACTGTCTCGCACATCCCTGGACTGCCTGCTCTCATTCCTGTTGACAATCTGACAGCTGTTACAGCTGTGTGTGGACACGGTCAATCTGACTTCCTGTCTGGCAGCTGTGCAGAGGGGAAGGGACAGCTGAGGGTCTCAAAAACAAGATGAGGTAGGAGGGCATGGGGGCAGAAGAGGCTGTCTGTACGGGTGAGTGTTTTACTGTGATCCTGGGCCCTCATCTTCTGAGCCAAAGCGCCTGCAGGGAGAGAGATAATTGGCCAAGTGGTTCCAAGTATTTATGGGAAAAAAAAAAAAAAAGACTACTTCTAGACACCCCAGGAATGGGGCCAGAATGAGCCCTATTTTCTAGGAGCAACAAACTTCGGGGCTACAGACAGGCCTCCCACATAAAGTTATGTTGATGGGCATCCAACTAAAGCGACAAACTGGAGTTAAAATCTAGCCCATGCTCTGGTTGCTAAGCCATAGACACTAGGTATGAGGAGGACACACCCACCAAGACAAAGGACCACTTTTAAAGAAATATGAGTAAAAGCTTTTGTGTGGATTAACAATGGCCCCACCCACACAGACAGACCTGAGTTCAAATCTTAGCTCCTACTTATTTTGTGCTCCGGGTAAGTTCTTTCACTTCTCTGACCTGTCTCCATTATGGGATGTGGGTAATTAACATTCTTCCTGATAGAGGTCAGTAAGGAAAGCCCCGGGTAGCCTGGTCACCTTGTGGAGTACAATATTAGTTCCACTGGAGCCCTGCCCTTCCTACCTTCCTGGCATCCCCACACCTACACATCCCCAACACAGTCATGCTCGGAATGGCCTCGAGAGCCTAAATAAGAACAGCCAGGGAAAGCCCCACTTGCAAACCTGAATCCCATGGGACTTCCCAACATCCAGAGCATTCCTTCCTGGCACAAGCCAGATTCCTACCTCCCTCAGTGGGGAGAGGAGCCTCCTCTGCCATGCCTTCTCATCATATCCAGGACTCAGCTCAACCAGAAATGGACAAGGGGATATCAGAGCCCAGCTCTGGGTCATTGGGAATCCCACAGTGGCGTTCGTTAAAGATCCCTAAGATCCTCAAGCTAGGGCCAAGCCTAGATGATGGAGTTGCCCACTGCACCCTGGGTAGTGACAGGATAGTTAGACAGAGACACTGCCAGTCACCAACAGAAGGGAAACTGCCCCCTTGCCCATGCTCCTGTCCCTCTTGAGCTCACTCACCCTTAGGTACCCACTGTAGCGTCTCTATTCAGCCACCAGGTCAAGCCCCAGAATAGCACCCAGGCATCCTGCCACGAAGGCTGGGTCTCCGCCCCCTCATGCAACACTCATTCATCTAGGTACCACCCACTGTGCTAGGTGCTGAGTATTGGCAGCTAACAAGACAGCACAGGGAGCAAAAGCTGTCCCCGAATAAGAGGTCCCAGGACTTCCTCCGATGGACAGAGAGGCAGGGCAGCATCTTGCAAGGCTCCCTTCTCCAACCCCTGGGGCTGGGGAGACCAGCAACGCCATCCGAGAAAGCACCCCTGGAAACTGCTTTTTCAGCCGTAAGCTTTTGCATTTTGCCGGGAGACTGACTACTCAAGACACTGGAAGGAATGGGTGTGCGAAGGGGAAAGGGATTGGAGGGAAACACCAGGCTTCTGGGCCCTCACGGCCATGTTTATCTAGGGTGAATTTTTTTTTAACCCAAAGGTTAAAGTGTTTCTATTTGAAACATCTATTTACATTCCAGAGTCCAAAAAAAAAAAAAGGCAGCCAAGCTCCAGGCCTATATCTGTCCCCAGCCGCGTCACAGACACAGCATCAGAGCTGCTCAGGGGGAACATTCCTAGCCCTCTCCCTGAGCTGCTGGGGTGACTCACCCCTCTCTCCTGCCAGCAGGGACTGCGCCACACTCAGAAGGCCAGGTTGAAGGGGGGGTCGGGGGGTGGAGATCTGGAGAGAGGGATTGGCTGGGGTATCTCCAGGGATAGAAGAACACGGTCCCAAACTTCCAGGGTTTCTGGTGTCTAACTCAAAGAGAATGAGTAAATACGAGGACACTTGGGGCCAACTGGTAGCTCAGCGCAGAATGGGACAGCTAGAAGCTGCCCGAGGTGATGGTCTTCGGACATTCCTTAACCTCCCAGGTGCCCATCTTAACACCCAGAGGCCAAGGTCTGGGGCTGAGGACAGGGGCTCTATCTCAATTAGCCCTGGGCAAGCACCAGCCTCTGGACTCCACCCCAGGGACCTGCTGGGCACCTTGCAGGGCTGATCTCTACGGCTGTGCCCTCTAAGAAGACACTGAGTGGCCAACCCCATCCATGTCCGAGCAGACAGTAAATCACGTTCCAAGGACTTTCCAAACCTTCCCCAAACACTCTTCTGACAGCCTAATCCTACTGCAGCCTTATCCCGGGACAGCCGAGAGCCAAATCACAGGTACCCAGAGAGCGATACAGCTCCCACCTTCTAATTGGAGCCTTCCTACCCACGCCCAGGTATCCAGAGTCAAGGACTCGAGCACACAGACACATATATTCTCTCACAAGTACCAAGCCAGCCACTGCCAGGAGGGGCCAAGCCGGCATGGGTCCAGCAGGCACCTCCCTGAAGGAAGCATCTTGTGGTGCCGGCCTGGTGGCAACAGGTTCCTGGGAGCAAGAGGAGTGGCTCTGGGGGGGGACTCCACCTCCCCACACACCAAGGATCCAAAAAGGTCCCCCTGAGAAAGTGGCAGGGCTAGGAATCCTCAAGCTTAGGTTGGGGGTGGGGTGGGGAAATCTTCAGCCCACCTGTGTCAAAGTAACACTTAAGAAACCTCAGCCTGGGGAAGGAAAAGAGCTAGGAACCAAGCCAAAAGCCTTCAGCTTCCCAGCTGCTTGCTCGTCCATGCTCAGCCCTATCCCAACAAGCCTCTTCCCTAAGTGTCCATTCTCAGCAGTCTCCTGATTAAAAACTACACCCTGACCAGGTCAAACCCAAGCCACGAAAGCTAGGATGGTTCTGACTCCTGTAGGTATCCCAGGTACAACTTCTTCCTCTGCTCAACTGTGGGGAGCAGGCAGCCTGGAGACAGGTCACTGACCCATTTCCTCCCCTCTGACCGTGGGCCAACTAGGCCAGAATCCTCTGGGAAGCCCCAGACCCTCGAAGCCGAGGCTGACCCTGCTGAAGGCAGAGGCACTGGAGGGATGCGGCAGAAAGTAGCTGGGAGGCGGGGTGAAAGGACAGCTCTGAACAAGGAGGGGGGCTGTCCTAGAAGCACAGCTCTTCCAATCAGTGGATGTTCAACAAAACCCTCAAGAAAAGCTGAAGCAGGACCCCAGTGGGGCCAGGCTCACGGTGAGATGCTCAATCCAGGTACAAGGCTGCCCAAGAGCTGAGGGCGGGTGGGGACACAGAGCCACTTACCTGCCACAGGGATGCTGTGCAGAGGAGTCCGTGGCAAGATTTCCAAGGATGGTTCCCGGCCTGACATGCCATCTGCTGAGAAACAGGACTCGGTCTCATAGATGGTCTGCAACATCTCCACAAGCCCCTGTGCCTTGGGCACCAGCAGCATGCCAGGGAGAGGCCGCCCGAGGCGGAAGCCGGTGAGGGAAAGGTGGTCAACTGGGCCAACAGGCTGCTCAAGGACTCCCTCAGGCCGCTGCCGCTGGGACCCAAAAGGCAAGGAGGCGCCTCATCCGGCCTGGGCACTCCAGAGGCAGCAGAGGCAGGGAGGCTAATGAGGCTGCAGGCCTCTCTCTACTACAGGAGCACGGGCCGAGGACCGTCCAAAGGTTCCAGGAGTTGGGCTATGGCTGGGTGCTCAGGGGACAGGAAGGGGAGCTCAGTGGGCAGGCAGGCTGTCTGTATTCCCTCCCAGCACCACCGGTGACAGCTCTGGGCCTGGCTCCCTGCTCCTCCTCCCCGAATGAGCCGCCGGCAGCTGGCAGGAGACTGAAATAGCAGTTGGGGGAGGGCCCTGTCTATAAATAGGTGGAGCATGCTCAGGGAGCCGCCGGCTGGCTGCCAGGAGCCCAGGCCTGGCGGAGGCCCCATGGGGGGAGGCGCGTTCCACCCAGGAGGAAGCGCCAGTCAAGGGGGAGGGGGCAGGGAAGGCCTGCACTCAGGGCCAAGGCCACAGACTTGGGTGGCCAGTGGCTGGACTAGAGAAGGGTCCCGGCAGGGGACCCATGCATCCGGGATCAGCTTTGGCCCCCGTTGGGGGCAAACAATGGACTGGACACCAAAAAGCCAGCCTGGATCTTCTATCTCCACACCCCTTGCCGCGCACAGCAAGGGAAGGAATCAAATAGACCACAGAGAGGTGACAGACACCCAACCACCTGGTCTAACCTCACACCTCCTCCTAACAGCCTGTGGAGTTAGTTTGTTTAAGTTCTGCCTTCCCACAGGGCTGGGAGATGCCTCCCCACACTCTTACTATCAGGGAGACCCTAAATAGCAGTAGGGTGGCAGCTCTCCCACCCATTCTAGAGTGCCACCTCCAGCACTCGGCCTCTTTCCAGGGAGCAGAGAGATTTTTCTGGGCAGGCGCTGCCCAGCCCAGGCAGGGGACTGGACAGCACCTGCCCATTCTCAGCTCAATCAATGCTTTCCTGGCAGTGTACCCAGTGTACCCAGCTGGGACCATCACAAACATCATTGCCTTTAGGCTAATAATGACCTCCAGAAGGAGGCCAAGATGGGGAAACTGAGGCACCACAAAGAGAAAGTCACTCTAGGCACAGAGCTGCTCACACGGTAGGGACAGGAGGTCTGAGGCTCTGACCACCATACCTCATGGGCAGAATATACAAGTCTGCCCCAGGTACAAGGGCCACCAGGGCCTAAATAGGAAGACTTGGCGTTGGAGGCCCTCCAGTTAGTTGTAAAGCTCTTAGCATCCTGGCCTGGGGAGTAGCCCCAGCTCTTTGGGCCTTCCTGGGCCATGGGGCCACTGTGCCATCAAAATTGATGCCACCTGCCAGCACCCGCCACTGTTGACCTGCCCCTTCTTCTACCCAGCTTGTGCCTCCCACTGATAAAGAGATCCCACTTGGCCCCCTGACCTCACTGGAGCCTTTTAATAGACAGATTATTCCTGGATCTGTATCCTCCTCCCCTTTCCTGACATCACAGTTGCTAATTTTGAACCCCTCCTGGCCCCTCCTTGCCCCCCACTCCAGGCATAGAGCCAGGGACACCTGTCCTCGCTCTCTGACTGCATGACCTCACCCTCCTGTCAGGAGCCTGGGAGAAGCTGTCTAACCAAGGACACGGTGGCCGTGGCACCAGAAAACCATCTTCCCAAGCTTCTGCCAGGGCACCAAGGGCTGCTCCCTCAGGTAGGAGGGCGCGCATATGAGGGTGGTGGTAGAGGCAAGCTTTCCTGAGCATAGCGAGATGCAGATGACACCTGGGGTAGGGGTTTGTTTCCCAGTGGTAGACCAGGAACCAAACTGGGAGGAGTCTAGAGCCACTGCCAAGACAGATTCTAGAAGGAAAAGGAGTAGAACTATTCGACCTGGGTGCTTGGTGCTAGAAAACATCACTGTCTGCCACCCTTCCCCCAAAAAGAGAAGGGAAGACCAGGGGCTCCACCAAAGAGTCACAGGCAGCAGACAGAAGGGAGCCCAGAAAGTGTGGGGGGAACCCCTCCCAGCCAGGGCTCCACCCACCCACGCTGAGAACAACCAGAAGGGCTGGCTAGCCCTGTCCTGGCTCTCTCCACCTGCCTCAGGCACAGGAGAGAGACAAGTGAGCTCTGCTCACGGGAAGTTAGCAGCTATGCAAAGTTGAAAGCAAGGCACCTCAGACCCTAGACTAGCCTGATGTCAAAGATGACCTTTTTTTTTTTTTTTTTTAAGACAGTCTCACTCTGTAGCTGAGGCTAGCCTTGAACTCGCAATGATCCTCCTGACTCAGCTTTTCCACTGCTGGGACTACAGGCTATCAAACTTGGTAAAGAGGATTTTCAAAGAGATCCAGGACATGGGCACCCAAAGGCGAGGGCTCAGGGAAAACAGCCAGCACGACCGTAACTTCTACGCTTTAAGAAGGGAAGCGTCAGTCCCCAGAATCCTCCAAGGAAATGTGACAGGACAGGTCTAAGGGGAAGGGACAACAAGCATCTCCCTTCTTCTAAGATAAAACTTAATACGACAAGGTCTTCCTAATGTGTAACCTCAATTTTTTTCCTACTAGAGCACCCCTTTCTCCTGTTTACTCTTCCGCCCCTGCCACCCACAGCTCCCGAGTCCCACCCTGCAAATCTCAGAGAGGACTCACTAAGGATGTATCCATGAGAGACAACCGTAGCCAGCACCAACAGGTTCAAGCCCAGCATGGGCTACAGAACCAGCTCTGGTCTCCCAGCAGTACCTCCGGCCCCACCTCTAAGGCTACACTCTGGCCTCCATGTCCTCTGAAGCTGGAGCAGAAGGAAGAGCCTAATGCTGCCTCCTTGAGCTCTCCCAGATCTTATTTCCTGGGCCCAAAGGCTGGCATGGGGGCCTGACAGGAAGGTGAGAGAAGCAGTCCTGCTTCCGTGAAGTCAAAAAAACCCAAGGCTGGCCTGGAGACCCTGCACTGTGAGATGCCTGGAAACATCGACCCTGCCTCTACCCTATAGTTCTTTCCTTTAAGCCCAGGCAGGCTGGCACCCGTCGGGATGGCCCAGGAACTACTATGAACCAGGTCCACGGTCAGGGACTGGCTGAATCTCCTCATTTAAAGCCAACTTCGGGGAAAAAGGTACACATCTACTTTGGCATATTCTGTTTCCCCTCTGGGTTGACCCTGCCTCCTCTCACCATCCAGTCCTGAGCCTTCATTCCCTCCGGGACGATGAAGGGAGCAGAGGAGGATGGACTTCCATCTGCCAAGGCACCTCAGTAGAGAAGGCAGACCAAGGGTCTTCTCCCCACACCCCTGCTCATGCCAAGCGCTGACCCAGTTTCTCCTCCTCTGGCTGGCTGCCTACCCTCCCAGGGGCTTGGAAGCAGAGCCTGAGGCAGGGAGACAGGACGCCAAGGTTCCTGGCTCCACCCCACACCGGTGCCCCAGTTTCTCTGGTCACCCCAAAGGGAGGGGGCAGTCGCCCTCCCTCCTGGGAAAGGGAAGGAGAGAAAGTATAGAGGGGGCACGCTGGAAGGGGCTGGGTAGACAGGTGTTATCATAAAGCTCATCTCCCTCCCACGCTGGGATGCCTCCTCCAAGGCCCCACCAACAAACACCCAGACAGGGTCACGTGGCAGGCCACATTCTTGTCCCTCTCTTAGCAATGGCCCTGAGAACAGGGTACAAACAGGGCGGTCGAAGTCCTGGGTCCCAGGGAGCCTCCTCCAAGCCAGAGCTGGTACAAATTCTATCAGTCTTTAACCCCACAGAGGAGAAGGCAGAGACGGGACTGGTTCTAGAAAAATAAAGAATGCCTCACCCTTTGCACCTCCCTCTGCCCAAAGGGAAAGGGACAGGGAAGCAGACTGGCTTCTTCAGGGAAGTAGGATTCCTCAGATGGCCAGAAAGTAGATGAGGTCAAGTGCTGGCATGCAGCTCAGTCCAGAGGTATATAAACTGAGTGCCCACGGCCCAAAGTGGTGGGCCTAGAAACAAATCCCTTGGTCTCTACCTGCCACCCCTCCGAGGGAACCTGCGTGCTGACTCGAGGGCTGGGACAGAAGGGATGGATCAACCATTTTCTGTCTTCTTGCTCCACCACAGCCCAGCCTCGCTGGTGATGCCAGGCGAGGACTTGTCAAACCCAAAAGTCCTTATGCTGAGGGGAACCAGAGGACAGAGAGAAAGTGCCCTGTTGTACCCGCCCTGTGGCTGTATGCCCTACAGAGAGAGGAACACGTGGGCCAGGATGACAGAGAGGTCAGTCATGCCCATCGTTCCCGCTTGTCCGTTGTCTGTGCCGGGGCTCCAAATCTTTCTTGCCTGGGGCCTTCTGCAAGGTGTCCACAGGGAATCAGACACATATGCACTCTGGCTGCAAACTGTGATTTCTCTATTTCTGTGGAATTTCCAAGGCATGTAGTTCCCAGCTTCTTCCAGGCTCTGGGCATCAGAAGCCCCAACCCCAATGCCAGCTGAACTTGGAGAGCAGATGCTGAGCCCCTCAAGGAGGAAAAGCTGTCTGCAGACTGGCTGTCTCCATGGTCCGGGGCAGCTATGAGTGGAGTAGCCAACCCTGGAACTGTAGGAAAAACTATGGGAAGGTCCACAGCAGTTCACCTCTTGCCGCAAGCAAAGACCCCCGTTTTTAAGCCTCTCAATAGTCCTAAAATATAGTTCTATATCCTGTGCCCTCCGCTTTCCCTCCCTTTCATACAGGGAAAAGACAGCATCTCCCCCTGCTGGAAGCAGATGGAAAGCCAGCCAGGAGGCAGGCCACCAAGGATGCCTATGCTGCCAGGGCTCAGAAGCTGCCAAACTGGTGGACACCTCCCGCTACAGCACGCTCCTGCCAGCTCTGGCAGGATGGCTGAGAGGAGAACCTGGACCATCAGTGTCTAGAATACAGCCCTGGTAACTCACTCGCGCTGAATGGAGTGTGAGAATGGAACCTACAGCTGGGAAAGGTCCTTCCCGTTCCACCAACAGATATCCCTGGGCAGCCTCTGTACCCTTAGTCAAAGGTTAACACCCAACCTCTGTGTGAAGCAGGGAATGAAGAAGGCTCAGAGAAAGGAAGCAAGAAGCATTGTTGTGCATCAGAACTGAGCCAAGAGCTGAACTGAGGAACCGATGATTAGTCCTCATTCCATCCCTTTCATGACCTGAGATGATGAGACAGGAAGCCAGAGCTCTACAAGCCCACCTGCTGCCACCATTAGGGGCTTGAATGAAGGGAAGGGCGGGCAGATCTCAGCAGTAACCACAAACGCACTAAGAAGGTGTCTGGGGAATTGAATTCCCCAGTGTGTGTGTGGGGGGGGGGGATTTCTCCCTGCTTCTTGCAGCTCAGTTTTTATCCAATGCCCCCAACGTCTCTAGAAGGGAAAATATCCATCTATCCATGTTTGCAGAAAAAGACAAAGGGAAAGGATGTGCTGGGAAGGGTTAGAGTTGGGAAAGGGTTTGAGGTAGGCAGGATAGGGCAGGATAGACACTGAACGACTCAGACTGTTTAGGGAGATAGCTGAGGACAAAAGGCAGTTATTACTCTAACCATGCTGACCTATGACCCCCTGGGAAACTCCTAAGGGTCCAGCTCAAGTCATCTGGACATATCCAAGCACATATCAGAACGCACCCAAACAAAGCTACCTAGAGTCCCAGCCACAGACTATTCCTGGCAGCACTGAGCGGGGTCTCAGCAGAGAGGAACAGCAATAATGAGTCAAAAGACACCCCAACTCAGGAATCCACCAAGAGGAAGAGGGCAATCAGCAGAGGGCCAAGACCTCCCTACAAACACATAACCCCACTCCTATCCCTGTACTGTATAGCCTAAGGTATAGGGCCCTGTGAACCTCTACCAGGAAAAAGGTGCAGGCCAGAAACATACTCCAGCAAGGGAAAAAGCCACCACCACAAGAAGTAGCATGAACATTCAGCTGTATCCAGGAAAACGCTTCCAACACTGTCCCAGGCTGCTAGCCGGAGAGTCACACCACCATCTCAGATACCCAACACTCTCATGTCGAAGGTGGGCATAAGGGCAGAGGGAGACCCAGGCCCTCCCAGAGTCATAGATTCCCAGGTCTGTCTCATAGTTGGCCTCTGTCCTTTCATCTGTTCTTCACTCTTGACTCCTTCATTCCCTGACACCTCAGACACTGGCAGTCAGCTGGCCTGGGCAGAAAACCCACACAGCCCATGGTATCCAAAACTGCCCCAGGAGGCTCCTCTCCAGCCTCCCAGCTCTTACCCGACTCGTTAGGAGAGTTCATGCCGGCTCTGGGCCTGCAGGAAACTGGCGTTGGGGGCTGGGATGGGAGGGGGTGGAGCTGCGGTGATGTCAAGAGAGACAGACGATAACAGACAGACGGACGGGACAGGAGCCCGGGGCGCAATGCCTCTAATGCCCATCCAAGGCCATCATCCTTCGGGGCGAGGCAGTCAGGCACTCAGAACGGCATCCCTGGGGAGAGACGGAGCAGAGTTAGTGGTCCCTAACTTAGTACCATGAGAGGCGAGGTCAGCTTGTACCGGGGAAGAGAGGGAGAGCCACCTGCCCAGGGCACATAGGAAACAAAGAGAACTGGGCCAGACTCTTACTTCTTGTCTTCCTAATTGGTGCCCAAGGGACAGGAAATGGCTACAGCGGCCTCTGCAGACACCGGTGTCCAGAGCCAGGTGTACCCTACAGGTACAGGTGCACTTAGCAAAGTGCTCGGTGTAGGACTAGCTGTCACCAAGTATAGCCTCTGGCCATCTCTGTGGCAACGGGAAAGGCTGAGCTGACCTGGAGTCCCTTGGCAGAAGTTCAGAACAGCTACCTTGGCACATGCCTTTAATCCCAGAACCTGGGAGGATCAGAAGTTCAAGGCCTACTGTGACTATATAAGGCTTAATGCTAGCCAGGGCTACAGGAGATCCTGCCTCCAAAAAACAACAACAACAACAAAAACAGGGCCAAGGAGAGGGCTCAGCAGGTGAAGGTACTTGCTGCCAAGCCTGATGACCAGAGTTCAAGCCCACCCATACAGCAGAAGCAAAGAATCGACTCATGAAAGCTGACTTCTGACCTCCATGTATTCATTGTGCCATACAAACACCCACATATACACACACACCCCATACACAAATAAATGTAATTAATAATAATAAAATTGTTAAAAGTTCAGGGAGGAACTGACATCCAGCCCAGTAGTCTCTGGGCCTCACAGGCCTGGCATCTCCTCCCTAGGTTCTGAGCCTTTGCCACCCATCTCTGGAAATGAAACATGCTTTCTTGTCTTCCCAACACCGTGATGAGTCAGTGTTTCATGAATTAGGATAGTCAAACAGACCCAGCACCCACTCTAAGTGTGCCGGAGTTTCTGGCCCCAACCCAAGGCTTTGTGTGTGGTTCAGGTTGTGCTCTGTGGAAGGAACTATGAAATGCAGCCTGTGCACACGGCCGGTCAGGCAGTGGCATGACACACGCTGAGTCTACTGGAATAAGGGACACCTTTTTCTAGTTTATACAACGGCACCAAAAGGCCCAACAGTACCCAAAGTCAGTGGAGTCATGGAGGATGGAGTTAGGGGCTGTGAGTTTGCCAGAGTCCCCACCCGGCCCCACAGTAAGTCTTCATGTCTTAGATACTAGGCAACACCACCTGGACCAAACAGCCCTCGGGCCACCCAGACATGATCTCATTCATTTACTTCCAAAAGAAGCCAGGCTCTGCAATGCCCCATGACAGCAAGTGTCAAAAAGTGACCAGAGATGCCAACATTAAAATCCTAACTCTGAGCCGGGCGCAGTGGCACACGCCTGCAATCCCAGCACTTGGGGAGGCAGAGGCAGGTAGATCTTGGTGAGTTCCAGGCCAGCCTGGGCTACAAAGCAAGATTAGGGCGGCCAAGGCTACACAGAGAAGCCTTGTCTTGGAAGAAAAAAAGGAAACCCTAACTCTGCTCCCCAGCCTAGAGCAGACAGTCAGGTATCATTTACCGTCTATCTCCCCTCACCTTGATATCAATATATCTCCCAGAGGGCCCCACCTCCTGGCAGTATTAAATCTCTGCAAACCCTCCATTCTTATCAAAGATTTCGCAGGGTGAGGTCCAGCTGGAGCCTAGAAGCCCCCAAGTCTTCGTTGGCAGGGCTACAGGAACACATACACAAAGACTCAGGGTTCTGGGCCTGCTGCTCCCTGCTGCTTTGGGCTCTCTGGCTACAGAAGGGTATATTCAGATCAGGGTTCAGGACTGAAAGACTAAAGACAAAAGAACCTGCACAGGTCTGGGACCAAGTTCAGGAATGCAGCAGGTGGGGCTGTTGGTCCTGGCAGGGCCCGCGTGGGCAGGCCAACTCAGCCCGTGCCCACGCCAGGGCTGGCGCCCAGTCCCGCTCACACCCTTTTCCGTGGGTTGAGGAACACAGGTTCAGAAATTCCCACGACTGCCAGCAAGTCTAAGTAGACCAGCCCATCTACTTAGTGAGAAAACCCTCCAAAGCAGGCCACTCAGGAGGATTAGATCCCAAGGGGCCCAAAATTGGTGAATCTCATCCCTCGACCCCCTCATCCTCACCTAGCACCTATTTGGGTCTCCTCCACGGAGGAAGAAAACAGCTCCTTGAGCTCACACAGTGGGCTCAGGATATAGCCACGCGCTATTGCTCCCCATGGCATAGGACCCAGGGGCCATATCCACCTGCAAAGGGGCCCCCATCCCCCGGTTCACAGGTCTTCCTAGCGAACAAGAACCACCAGCAGGGCTTCCGGAAAAAAACAAAGAAGCCTTCACAGCCCAGTCAGGACAGGCCTAGCTTCTTGTTTAGGGCAGGGCAAGCCTGAGCTGTCTGCACCCTCTTCAAGAGAGAAGCTGAAGACCCACTGCTATCTAGCTGGGGACCTGCGGCTGCGTAGCCGCTACCCACCACTTGGACAACAACCCAGTGTGCAACGCCAGCACCCCCAAAGCGCTGCTCCTCTCACCCCGATCGTCAACCTCTACCCTTCTCTTAGTATACTCCAGGGTCTCAACTCCTGCCTCCATCGAGGGCATCCAGGCAAGGAAGAGTGCAGCGCACGACAGAACCTCCGCCTATAAGCTCTGCTAAGGTGAAGAAGGCAGGGCAGAATCCCCAGGGAAGCAACCCTACTCCATCCACCAGCGAGGAAAACTCTAGCAGAGGGTGGGAGGAAGAACTCCCCCGGGGGGGAGGGGGGAGGAGGTGACCAGAGTCATGCAATGCCCCGAGGGCCACAAGTTCACTAGGCCTCCCTCAAACAGCTCCCTCCAAATTCCCCTCCAGAATCACCAATGCCTCCCACTCCCAACACGGCAGCTCTGGGCCTGAGAGAGGCACGCCCAGGTCTTGAGTTCCCAGCCCAGGGCCACTTTCAGATGAGGGGCCACTACCTACGTCATACAGAACAGGGCCTAGCGGATTGAAGCAAATCCTGTGCACTCGAGATGGGCTTCATTTGTCCCAACACTCACCGCCTGGCAAAGCTCAAAGCCCAGACATCCCACCGAAAGGCACCAGCAGTTTCTCATCTGAACCCCTCCCGGCTACAGCCCTAGCAGAGAACTGTTCCCAGCCTCCTCCCAGAGCTTCCACGGCCTTGTGCCTCCCCACAAGCTGAGCCAGAAGGATGGAAGCCATGCAGGCCCCAAACCAGGGAAAGCGGGAAGACAACAGGGGAGGGGAAAAAAGGCACCAGGCTGACAAATTCATTTTCTGCAATCGGCCCATTTCTGTTTGTCTGCTCAGACGCAGCTCCAGGCATCTGCACAAGCCAGATGGAGGAGGCTGCTATTTCTAGAAAAAAAAAAGGGGGGGGGAGGGGAGGGAAGAGGTGGAGACAGAGGGCATTAGACAGGGTCTGTTTGCCCTAAAACCCCAGACAGAATGATGATACCCCCTCCACAGCACCACCAGGCAGGACTCTCATTCAAAAAAGGGCTGAGGCTGGGGCAGGGGTGAGGTGGGCAGGGGGAAAAGAAAGGCAGAGAAAGTTTAATTAGCCAAAGTCAGCTACAATAGGCCCCCTCACGGGCTACATCAGGTTTTCATTCATGAGCAAGCGACAGTGCTCCAAAGTGCCAAGAACTGCCGCCCCCCCCCTTGCTGTCTCTTTCTCACACCACCCTCTAACAGGAGTGAGTCCGCTAGCAGGCTGCCTGAGCCTGACGCTGTGTTCCAGACATCCCTCCTCAAAGGGATGTGAGTAGGAAGAATTAATTATTAAAGAGCAGCTGGTACTTAAGCACCGGCTGCATAACCCCCAGCTCCTAAGGCTGGGCCCCCTCCTCTGCCTTACAGAAGCAACAATGAACCCCCAGCCCCAAGTCCCATATCTAAGCATACAGCTAAGATACCAGCCCTAAGAAACGGAAGGGAAAGCTCTTATCTCTGCCGCTATTGGGGTGGGTAGTGCATGTGACACACCGTCACCCCCACCGAGATTACATGATCTGGAAGAGGGGCCGGCCCAGGGCAAACATTCTCTACCTATGGGGCAGTCTCTCCGGCCCCTGGTGTGTCAGGAGATGCAGGAAGCCTACTCCTTTAATTTAGGCTGTCATCTCCGACAAGACCTCGTCCAGAACCGAGTCTCAGTGGAAAGACGGAGAGGGAAGACTGAAGGAAAGGAGGAGGAGGCAAACCAAGTTCTCCCCAAGCTTTGTTGTTTAGGGAGGGAGAGAAAAAGGAAGGAGTAGACAGCAATGAAAAAGCAGGCAGCCCCGGACATGGCTCTTCCATAGCCCAGCTCAGCAGCCAGGATGGGCTTTAGAGACTGTGGATTTTCCCTTCTTACAACCCTAGCCCTATGTGGAGGGCTGAGGGGACCCAATGACAGAACTAGCCAGAGGTCTTCTGACCCAAACACTTCAATCTCCCACCCCTTCTGTCTCCTTTTGTTCCTGGGATCTGGTTCTATCTTCCCCTCCCATTGAACCCTAAGTCCCTCTTCTCCATTCCCATCCCCAAGATCCAAAGGCTAATTCCAGGTCCCAGAAGCATAGTGGTCACTATCAAAGTGGCAAGTCCTTACATACACACATACACACACACACACACACATACACACACAGTCCCCAAAAGCAACTGCAGCTACTACCCTTCCTCTTTGGGGACAAAAAGCTCATCTCAGAAAGCCAAACGCAGGGACATCAAGTGGTCACCTTCCCCCCCCCCCCCAAAAGAAACCCCCCCCCCCCCCCCCCCCACCCCCGGCCCCCCCCCTCCCCCCCCCCCCCCCCCCCCGAAATGAAGCCCACCCTACTCCCCCCCCAACTCCTAGATTCATTACTTATCACCCAGCCAGCGCTCCTCTTCCTGAAGGCCCCAGGGATGGGTGGGGTGGGGGAACCGACTCCCCCAAGTTAACACTTAGAACCCCTGCCCCATGAGAAACAAACCCAAGATGAAAACTGGGCGCTGGGCGCGGGGGATGGTGGGATCTGTCCGAACCAAGGAAGATCACCAATTCATCTCCCAGCTCTCTCCCTGAGCTCCAGGGTGTCAGACAGAAGAGGGTGGTAAGAAACGCAGGAACGCCTCACAGGCGAGGGGGTGAGAAGAACAGCACAGACAAATAAGGTGGGCCCCGCCGTCCCCTTCCACCTGCATGGACGTCAAGGACATAAAATCAAGGGTACGTTCTTCGCCACTTGGAGAAGCACGGTGGGTGGGCTGCGCCCCTCACCTCAGAGTAACAAGAAAGGGGTGTCCAGTGAAGAGAGGCTCTGCCCAGAATCCAGGGGCAAGGCTCAAATCGGTGTGGCAACGGATTACGAGCCGCCGGGGAGGAGACAAACCAGACATCCCCGGCTGGTCTGCGGGCCATTTAGGGGAGCGAGGTGCGGGAAGATCGGCCCCTCCCTTACCTGCAGAGAAGGAGCCCTGCAAGGGGAGGGATGAGGAAGGGCGCGCGCGGCGAGCCAAAGGCGACGCTCCCGGGCCCCGCGACGCTCCCTGGGGGTGCGGGCTGGCTCGGCGCGCGCGCTGGGAGGAAGGACAGGGGCTCGGGGAGCCCGCGGGCAGCGACGGCGGGAGGACGGGGCGCTGCCGGGCGTCCCCCGGTCGCGGGAGGTGGGGTCCGGGCGGGTGCGGCACGCTCACCCGCTGCGGCTCGAGCTCCGGCTCCGCGGGCGGCGGCGGCAGCAGCGGCGGCAACAGCAGCGGCAGCGCCTCCTCGACGGCTCCTCCATCTTTGCGGCGGCTCCTCGGGCTCCGCTCGCCGCCGCCACCAACAACAACATTCGGAGACGTCACTCCCGTCACGTGACCCGACCCCGAGCTAAAAATAGACCCAGACCCCCCCCCCCCCCCCCCCCCCCCGTTTCGGGCTTCAGCCGCGAACCCCTCCCCTCTCCGTCGGCCCTCCCCTCGGATGGGCGGGGCCAAGAGCGCCACCGTGACAGCTTCTTAAAGGGCCAATACCCAGCCTCAGGTTGGGCTGAAGCAGAGCTGGCCGAGAAGGGATCCGATCTCTTCGCCGAGTAACGAAATGAGTGCAGCCCGGATCCCGGCTGCTGCAGGGGCTGGATGTGTGGGCTCTAGGGTTTGGTTCTCTGCGCTTTTTTCGACTTCCTTTTCCAACCGTGGATGGTGCAATCTTTGCCCGCCTGAGCTGTTCTCTAACACGCCCTTCCCGTGCTTAGGGGGAGGGTAACCCGGGCTGGAATCCTAGGGGCTGTCTGGGAAGTGGAATTCCCTGCAGGAGCAGCGAAGCTGGAAGATTAGCTTGGACAGGTCCCTATCCCATCTCGCCTAACCTGACACAACGCTTCACCTTGATACAGAAACTCCTCGGAGAAAGCCAGCGTCGGCTGTAACTGTCCCCGGCCTTCAGAGGAGCTGACCAGGAACCTAAAAGACCGCTGGTCTCCAACTTTGGTACCGTCCTTACTGCTACGTCAGTGGGACTAAACACGACTGAGTTGTTAAACGTACATAGTTTTTTTTTTTTTTTTCAATGACCTAGCAATTCCTCCAGCAAAAGATGTAGTCTAAGCAAAAATTGTGCTCCGAAATGAGCATAGAGGGAGATTGTTTATAATAATATGAAGTGTTGGAAACAACCTAACTATCCATCAAGTAGATACCTGCAAATAAGCTAGGGGACATCCAAACACTCAAAATTATACAGAAAGCCAGCCAATTAATCTCCTTATCTGAATGTGTTTCTGCAAAAATTTAGAAATATCTGGCAACCCCGTTGTCATGTAATAAGGAAAGTGACTGTTTTTAAGATTCCTGGAAATGGCTGCAATATTATTAGAGAATAATAATCGTGTAGGTCTACAGCTCGGAGGACAGCTCAGAAGTAGAACATGTGGGTAACATCTGAGGCCTGTGTTCAATACAAAACATGCTTATAGTGACATGTACATCACACACACGCACATTTTAAAGCAGAGGATGGTGTCGCATGCCTGTAGTCTCTACACTTGGGGGGCAGAGGCAGGCAGATCTTTGTGAGTTCAAGGCCAGCCTGGTCTACTTAGCAAGTTCCAGGACAGCCAGGGCTACATAGAGAACTTGTCTCAAAGACTGACAGACAGACCGAGAGGGAGAGGGAGAGAGAGGAAGAGAGAGAGAGATTAAGGTCATTCTCCACTACAGTGAATTTGAACTCAGTACCAGCCTGTATTACATGAGCTCCTATCTCAAAAATTAAACAGTATGTGTGTGAGAGAGAGAAAGCAAAGCAAGACACCCCCCCAAAAAAAATTTTTTTGATTTGTGACAGGTAGTGGTGGCACACACCTTTAATCCCAGCACTAGGAAAGGAGATCAGCAGGGGGAAATCTGTGAGTTCGAGGCCAGCCTGGTCTTATAGAGTGAGTCCAGGACAGCCAGAGCTACACAGAGAAACCCTGTCTCAAAAAACAAACAAAACAACAATAAAAACAATATTGATTTATTCCAACAGCATATGCAAAAGTTCATGTGTATGAGTCTATAAGCATATAAAACACTAGGAAATATAAAACAAATGTTTACTTTCTTTTTTTTCTTCTGTACCCCTCGAATCTGAAACAGCCATGTGTAAAGTACATGCATAAATGGGCCTGTAATAAGTGGTAAAGGTTTTTCCTGTGAAGTTCTTCATGGCTCTATTCCATGCCCACCCCCACCATCTCCATCCTCACACCTTGTTCTTAGCCAAATCACTCCTTACCTGAAACTGTGGCTGGCTCCCAGCAACTAATACCCTCCCTGCATCCTGCTCATTTGGTCTCCTCCGAGAGTCAGGGTGCTAACTTAGAATGCAAATCTACTGAAGAACAGTTTTGAAAAGAATTCTGATTTTTGTCACTGGAACTTGTCACTGGCCCAGAAATGTGTATAACAGCTCACCAGAGGAACTTGTTCAAAAAAAAATGTTCATTCTCAGACCCCACCCCGAAAACTTGTTTCAGAGTGGGAAAGAGGCCCAGAAATCTTCATTTTAAATACATACCCAGGAGATTTTGCTGCAGCTGGTTCTCTCCTGAATTTTGGAAAAATACCAGCCCAAAATTGAGCATGACATGCTCCCTGCCTCCCCAGCTTCCCCTTCTAAGCTTCCTAAGCTTAGCTTTCTGTAGTTCAGCCCGTACCTTTGTCTCTCCATTTTTTGTTGTTGTGTTGTTTTGTTTTTTGGAGACAGGGTTTCTCTGTGTAGCCTTGGCTGTCCTGGACTTGCTTTGTAGGCCAGACTGGCCTCGAATTTATAGAGATAAGCCTGCCTCTGCCTTCCCAAGTGCTGGGACTGCAGGCGTGTGCCGGCGTGCCCAGCTCCACTTCTTTTTCCTAATATCTGTTTTTCTCAACCTTTATTCGTCAGAAGTGCCTAATCATTTGATGCTGTAACACAAAGTGGTCTCAATAATTCATGCTTGAGAACTGTACAATCCAGTTACCTGAAAATATTTGTAAAACTGTCTCATAATATTTTAAGGAAGTCCTGGGTATCCTGGGCTTCGAGCTGGTCACTCATGAAAGTTACCTAACAGATGAAAATGACTGCTTGTTCTTCAAGTGTGGTGTCGCAGACTTTCTGAGTTTTCAATAGCCATGACCAGAGGCCCACAGCAATGAGGAGTAAGGGCTAGGCTGGCAGCCAGTATTTTCACTTTACGTCCAGGTTAGCCATGGGAATAGAGGACAATGGGACAGCTCTATACGGATCTCATAGCTTCAGAGAGGCCATAGAGACACCCCCCCCACCCCAATCTCTCCAGTCCTTGAAGGATGTGTCTGCTGCACTTGCTGGCCTTTGCACAAGCCTTTCCCATTTCTTGATTTCTGGATGCCCCACCTCCCTTCTCTTTGCCTCCAACTTATCTGCCAGAGTTCAGTTAAATATTACTTCCTGAAAGAGGCCTTTCTTTGTCTTTTAATTAAACTAGATCCCCTTGTTATATATGCTTTCACTGACTCTGATAATAGTCTGTAAACATGTGTCTCTTTATAGCATTACTGGTTCAGTATCTCTCTCCTGCCCTAATTAATATAAGCTCTTTGTGGGGAGGGTGCTAGGTAGCCAACCAGGGCTTTCTTTACACATACTAAGCACAAGTCCTACCATTGAGCTGCACCTGCCAAGCACTAAGAAAACAAGGGTCTTGAACACAGAATCCACACGTCTACTAGAATGGTGCTTGGAAAGGCTTCATGAATTCTGCTGAATGAGATGAATGAGTATTAAAAGAACAAACAAAGATAGTATCCTCAGACTGGACAAGACTGTCTAAGCAGAAAGGACCTTAAGGCAGACATCCCACAGCACTTTGGATCGGGGTCCTCCTTTCTTCTTCCTGAAACACAAACCCATTGTGCTGGCTGCTATTATGTCAACCTGACACAAGCTCAAGCCACTGGAGAGGAGGAAGCCTCCACTGAAAATACGCCTCTGGGAGATGGGGCTGCAGGCAAGCCTGTAGGACATTTTCGTGATCCGTGGGGAAGGGCCCAGACCCTTGAGGGACAGTACAACTCCTGGGCTGGTGGTCCTGGGTTCTATAAGAAAGTAGACTGAGCAAGCCATGGAGAGCAAACCAGTAAGTGGCACCCCTCCGAGGCCTCTGAATCAGCTCCTGCCTTCGGGTTCCTGCCCTGACTTCCTTCAGCGATGAACAATGATTTGGAAGCAGAAGCCAAATAAACCCTCTTCTCCCCAAGTTGCTTTGGTCGTGGTGTTTCATCACGACAATACTAACCCTAAATAAGACACCCATGTTACTCTATTCTAGTCTACTCTATTCCTCCATTCTTCCTCCCCACCCCCGTGTGTGTGTGTGTGTGTGTGTGCGCACACGTGTGTATGTGCACGCACACAAGAGAGTTTCTCTCTGTGTCTCCACACTATGTATCCCAGGTGGCCAAGACGTTATGATCCTTCTGCCACAGCCTCCCAAGTGCTGGGATTACGAGGGTCCACTGTCATGACCGTCCTACTTTTACTACTGCACAATCCTCCCCACCTCCGACAAGGCTTCTCTATGTAGCCCTGTCCTGGAACTCATGCCACACATCAGGCTGACCTTGAACTCAAGAGATCCACCTACTTCTGCCTACCCACAGCTGTTATTAAAAGGGTATGTCATCGTCACCTGGCTCTATTTCATAATCTTAAAATGCCTCTTTTTAAACTTTTTGAAGGAGCTGGGCAGTGGTGATGCACGCCTTTAATTCCAGCGCTCTTGAGGCAGAGGCAGGTGGATCTGAGAGTTCGAGGCCTGCCTGGTCTTACAGAGTGAGTTCTAGTCAGCCAACACTACACAGAGAAACCCTATCTCAAAAAAAAAAAAAAAGACAGATAAAGAAATACTTTTTTAGATTTATTTTGTTCTACTTATGTATGAATATCCTACCTGAATGCATGTAACAGCACCATATGGGTGCTTGGTGCCCTTGGAGGTCAGTAGTGGGTCCTCTTGGAACTGGGGCTGTGGGTGGTTGTGATCTACCATGTGAGTGCTAGGAATTTAACCTGGGGCTTCTGCAAGGGCAGGAACTGTTCTGAACCACTGAGCCATCTCTCCAGCACACTTAAGATGTCGTGTGGCAGTGGGTTGGAATTTTCCAATTGCTTATGTTTTGCTTCCCTGAGTTGATTATAGGCTATTTGGAGGAAGAGAGATGACAAGATTATACCTCCCTTTCCCTTTCCAGCATCTAGCCTCTCACCTCACACAGTCCTACGGACTCAATACCGGTTGAGGACTATTTCGAGGAACACCTTAGCCAGTTACATCTCATTCTACGGAAGGACCAAGACTAAAAGAGGCTAAATAGC